TAGAAAGCGCGTTTTCGGTTGTGTAACGGGTACTTCCATTGAAGAATGTGTCCAGCACCAGAAGCTGCGTTGGTTGGGACATGTGTTACGTATGCCGAACCATCGTTTGCCGAAGACAGTGCAGTTTTCCATCCCCAATTCAGAGTGGTGTAATCAGAGGGGTGGCCAACCCTTGACTTGGCAGAGGAGTATGAAGGAGATCACGAAACGCTTGGTGCTGTCGGTGATGATGATGATGAGTGGTCATGCGGTGCTGTTAGACTGAGATACCACTCATGAACAAGGAAGGAAGGACTGAGTAGCGATTCTACAGTATTCAGATAACATTTTCACCCCTGTTCCCAGATGCTGTCACCATCTAGAACTGTCTTCAAGAAAATGTATTTAGGGACTACCAACAAGGATCAGTACATGCTCGAATGAGCACACATTGAATCTCAATTGTGCACAAACTATATGGCTTTACCAGTAAACACCATGTTATGTAGACCGCACCCTGTTTTATTTTCGAGGACCGTTGGTTCAGGAAGCAGACCATAAATCCAACTACTCAAGCCGGTAAAATTCACTTTATCAATCTGACTACTGACAAAATAGAAGTAACATGCTCTGGCAGGAATTATGCAATACTTATGACTACCAGCAAGTCGCCCAATAATTCCTGTCTCTGAACATCAACTTGAACGTCTTGAAGTGCCCCTCGAAAACTGACTGGCAGCACTTTAATTTTCTTCAGACCTCCTGGTGAAGAGGATCGTCAGATACTATGAAAGTAAGTCGAATTCCCATTAAATTCCGCCTTATGCGAGACAATATTCCGCAGAGGTCATCATTTAGCCGGTCCACCATGGGACATCAAAAGCTACTTTTTGTCTAATAAAACGTCAAGTGCAGTAGTTCCACCGCGGAAACTATTTTTTCGATCGACCCGAATTAAGAAAGCTGAAAAGAGCCAACATCATCCACTCCAAAGTTCGTACTTTACGTCATCAGAAAGTGATGCGTCACACTGGTCAGATTATCGTCCAATCAGAGGTGAACAAGGGCATACTTGATTGGTGGATTCAATCGAAAATTCCGCAAGACACTTTTGTTGGACCTGACTAGTTAGAAAGTGTCACTATCATGATTTAACTTGGCCCACGATGATACTGCCTACCCTGTCGGTCAATCATCCGCACTTTGCTGGCCCAAAACACTCATCAAAGGTTGACAAGGCAGTCTCTAGTTTATGTTACAACTGTTGAGCTTTCAGTTGGTCTTCTACCCCTGTGTACTCCTGGATGAACAAGATTCTCAGCGGAAGTATTCGAATGCTCGAAGGTGTCTGTCTAATGACATTTAACGATGGGCAGTGTGAAACCAGCGAGTCACTCTCATGCTTTCAGCTATAGGGGTCGGATATTCGTTGCATCCCTTATTGAGCAAGCATGAAGTACTCACCGGGAAACGAGCCCACAACTAAAGTCGCTCCCTAGGCGGTGGGTCAGCTGTAGAAATGAAAGTACTCTGATGTGAGTGACCATGTGATCAGTGTAGCTTTTCAACGATGGTCAGAGTGAAGCATCTGTGTATCCCGGATTCTCCCACCAACTAACCCAAATTGTCCTTAATGCTGTTCCAATAGACAGATGCAAGTTTTGGGGTTTTTCAGGATAGGTATTTTGTTCATAGTCACACCACTCCCGTTTGAACGGTCGTGTTCCTGTTCTGGCGCAATTATTCCGGTGAGTCCACACCAAAGGGAAGCAGCACTGGACTCGAGTTTCGCTCTTATTAGAGATCATCAACAGCGCATATCCAATGGCCGTGCCGGGATTAGAACCCCGGACATCTGACATGCGAATCGAGCGTGTAACCACTACTCCGCATCTGAATTCTCACATCTGAACAGGCGAACGTGTTCACACTTGAGCGATGTGATTGGTGTGCCCGATGCAAATTTGCCAGACCGTTTCTGACTGAACAAATTCCTCCCCGTAGCCCTGGAACAAAGTAGATAGAAAACCTTCAGGACAAGAACCTCACTGATGCTTGGATAAGAAGATACACTCACTTACATCTGGGACTGAGGGGTTGTTTCCATATTCATGGTCTATGTTTTTTATAGTGGATGAAACGTTTTGTGGTTTAACGCCTTCTACTGATAAGATGTCACACAGATTACCTGAATCAACATGCGGACTGGAACCACCAGGCCTCATGATCCGCATTTACTTTCAGTTCGCATGGGATGTGATAATGCACCGTGTCAGATTATGATACTGAGAGAAGAGAATCGGTCTCCTCGATTCCAGCCAAGCTACAGCCTCATCAGATATCCAATTGAGATTGTTGAGCAGCGCTTCAACTGTGAATTTTGGCAGTACACACGGATTTAGAACTCTCGTTACCACTTGAAATCCGGTCAGGTGGCAGATGCTAAAAAAAGTAAGCGGCTCTGAGACATCTGCTTAGTTTCGGGATTCGTGAACCCATTCCAGTGTGGTGTCATATTTGGGGGATCTAAAAAGCGCAGTGAAGAACATCGTGAGCTGTGTAAGGCCTCGGAACATGGCTCCAGTGGGTGAGAAGTGTGTTTCACTGCGACGTTTTGGAACGCCGTTGTGCGTTATTCAGAAATTCACCGGGGTTCTATAAATCACTCAGCTGCACATTTTCAAAAAGGTCAGATATTTGAAGACAACCTCAAAATGCCCGAAGTCTACCGAGTCACTCAAACCCCACCAAATTGGCAGTAGGGGAGTGGTTAAGCATCCACGCCAGCTTCCAACTGAACGCTAAAGCGGTCGATCAGTTCAGCACGGGCCAATGATGACGAGTGTTCAGGAATCACGTAAAAGATGGGTATAAACGCTGACTGGACAACCTGAATCAAGGTCAAATGTGCGCTTTAAATACCTTCATGCCCTAGCAACTTTTGCACTCGCTCAACTTAAGTTCCTTGTTGGTAAATCTTCGTCTGGCACTAAGGCACTGGAACGGAACCGAAAGTTGGTTACTAGATGGTGGGACCGGGTGATCCAGTCGAGATTCGACCGAACATATCACATATTGTGTTCGAGAAGTCGTGGGGTAAAGGCGAGTTCATCTTTCCAACTGGTTGGTGTTCAAAGTTAGGTCAGAGCTTAACTATCCAAAAAAAAGTTGTACGCGTGATATTCGTCTTGGTTTGGATTTGCGGGACCGAATTCCACGAGTCAAACTGGGTAAAAGGTGAACACACAACAGGCAGTCAGGTGTAATTAGTTCGGTTGATTGGTAAAGAGAACATTTCAAGAAGGCGACCAGTTCGAAACCTCCCTCCAGTGGACAATGAAATCAGCATTCCAGGAGGTTACTGACTATTGGAAATCTGATCAATTCGAATTGCAAGGTGAAAAGGACCCAACCGTATTGACTGTTCTTTTGACATCTTCCATCAAACGAGGTTTTCAACGTGTTGAGAACCAATGCATCGAACAAGTATGAAGGACGATGCAGCAATAAGTCCCCTAAAATTCATCATTCAAACCCAACAAACTGCCAAACGCAAGAAATGAGCATCCTAATCAAACCGGGGAGGACACTTTTCAGAATGGAAGTCGCCATAATGACCAACCATATTCGGAGACGACAGATCACAACGTAACACAAGACGAGAGTGGACAAATCAGGGAGCGGACCCAAAACTCCGAAAGAGCGAATGCAACGCAACAGATGCATATAGAATTAGTTAATCAGACGGACACTCCTTGAAAACCATACAGACGCACGGAAGAAGGACCAACTCCGCTGCGTACAGCCGATGTCTTCTTGACTGAGGACGACACGTTTGCAAGCCAACTGCCAAAATCGGTGAAAGGAACAACGGCTACCTGATCAGCCACCAGTAGTCTGGGGTTTTCTAGAGCAAACATCCACACCGGAAGTTAGCGCTGGAACTAAAAATTGCACCCCAACATCCTAGATTACCACAACAATAGATTTCAACTATCATATAACCCTTTTTGCGTTTCCAGAATTCTGAAGAACTGGTCTCCACTGTAGCGTACTGGCTGCATTTTTCGGTCCCTTCAGGGTGGCTGTTATTTTTTCCGGTCTATTCAGCAACGAATTTTCTGGATGCTCAGCAGATTGGTCTCTTCAAGGAAAGACATCTCTGTCATGGAGGACCAGTTTGTCTCAGGTGGTCATTGTCTTTGAATGCTACGGTCCCCTTGTTATATCCAAAGGCACACAACGTGTATTAACGCTCACAACCAGATCAAAAACACATATCGCTTGTAAAGTGTATGCGGTGGCAACATTCTGAAAATTTCGACGCCTTCTGGGCGCGCCATGGGCAACCGGCCTGCGGTAGATACTGGATCATGATTGGATGGCAAGTCCAGACTTTCGACCAATCAGAGCCCGCCTTGGTGCAGTACTGGCACGCGGCCCGATCTTTTGGACAATCGTGAGCGGGATGGGCTTCTTGGCCGTTGCAGCGTTTAACTGTAATCGGTAAAGCGGTACAAGTGCGGAACTCCGCCTAACATGCTGTTGGTGTGTTTACAAGACCTTTTACCCTATGCGGTGAGGAAATTACTTTCAGAACGGTTGCTCGAGCTGGACGACTGCCTGTGACCGTATCTGTTTGTAGATCGTTGCGAGATAAGTAGAAATTGCATTCATGCCTCTGTCGTTTGAACAGTCCCCTCCTGTCCTGGTGCAATTATTCTTGTGAGACACACCGAGGTGGGGAGCAATGGGTTCGAGTTTCGCTCCTACGGGGCCATGGTTGGATTTAAATTCCGGACATCTGGCATGATAAGCGACCAGTACCAGGCCGGCGCACGCAGGTTTCCCATAAATCACCACGTCTGACCAGATGACAATGTTCAGTTCACGCTTGAGCAACGTGAATGATTTGCCCGATGTTCAAACTTCGAAATCTGTTGCGATTGCAACCAAATTCCCTAACAAACGAAGAATTGCACTATCAAGCCAGATGAGGAATCAGGTTAAATAGACGGAGAAGAATGATAGATTTCTCAGCAATATCACCATATGCCATTTTAAATCACGATAGCGACACTTTCTAGTCAGCTGGGACAGGTAAGCAATACTGCGTCGGCGCACGCTGGGTACACCTGAATTATGATATCTCAACGGGAGAACGTTGAGCATTTGAGCTTGTTTGACCACACGCTAGACGACAAACCCATCTACCTAACTGTCTCATTCTCCTGCCGTTCCACCAGAATTAGATAAAGTGGTGTTCTGCAAACTCAGAAGTAA